CCAATATAAGCTTTCGTCTTACATAAGCCATTATCAAAGATGACAATTTCAATATATCAAACAAAACACGGACGAAACGGCAATGATAGTCCGCCCTTGCTGCATGAAAAATTTCAAAGTAACGAAAAACTCGTATATACGAGACGCGAAAGCGAAAATGGCGTCGCAGCTCGTGATATCACACATGACCAACGGCTTCCCATACTTAATACTTCTCGTTTTTCACTGTCTAAATTATTTAATGAAACATGCATTAATATATATATATATATATGTGGGGGGGTTGGTTTGTTTTACGGTATATCAACCTGAATTTAATGTCGACAAGATTTTTATTGCAGGTATTTTTTTTTTCAGAAATGTATTGATGTTATTTTTTTTTCCCAAAAATGTATTGTTGGTCGTAAAACCTATTTCTACACTTACATAGTATTTTGACCCCAGTTTGGAGTTAACTATTTGCCCTTAATTGGGACCCTAACAGGAGATACGAGCCCCAGGGCAGGGTGAACCGGGGAAAACCAGTAATTAAGAGATGGTTCCACGCTCCTCAAAGCCTCCTGATCAGAGTCCTTGCTGTTGAATGTAATTTAAAAGAATTTCAAATACTGACAAAACGGAAACCTGAGATATTATGGGAAATAGCAAAAAAGAAAGAAACAAAATTTTGAAAGGAACAATCAAACGAATCAGGCGGAAAATGAACAAGAGGAAAAGCAAACTTAAAAATGAAAGACGAAGACAACGAATAAAGCGAAGAATAATTGGAAGAATAGAAACGACTTATCAAATGAAACTAAAGTTGTCTGCTTTAATGAAAAAAAATCCTAGAAGCAATACGAAGGATTCGATGACGTGGAAGGCGGGAACAAGTAGGAGGATTGAGAAATAGAGAGAGAGAGGGAGAGAGAGAGAGAGAGGGAGAAGGAAAATGAAAGGTACAAATAACTGGGAGGAAAATGGAAAAAGAAAAAAACCTTGCAGCCATGCTTTGATTTATGAAGTTCGAAGTGATGGATCGTTTTTGTTTTTTGTTTGTTTTTTTTTTTTGGCGGGGGTTGCTTTTTGTTACGCCTCTATCAACCCTCATCGACTTCTACTTATGACCAGAACATTTTTCGGCATATTTAAATACGATCCTCACAATTCATTTTTCTTTCTTTCTTTTTCTTTCATTCAATAGAAGGGTTACAAAAAAAATATGTATTATTTCTGCCAAGATGCGTTCTCTAGCAGACACACTAAACGGCAAAAACTTGCATAGATATAACACCGACTGAGATAGATAGATAGAAATGAACAGACTAAGATAGATAGATAGATAGATAGATAGATAGATAGATAGATAGATAGATAGATAGATAGATAGATATGAACATAGTGAGCTAGATAGATAGATAGATAGATAGATAGAAAGAAAGAAAGAAAGAAAGAAAGAAAGAAAGACAGACTAAGATAGATAGATAGATAGATAGATAGATAGATAGATATGAACAGACTGAGATCAATAAATAGATATGAATAGACTGAGATAGACAGATATGAACAGACTGAGATAGATAGATAGATAGATAGATAGATAGATAGATATGAACAGACTAAGATAGATAGATAGATAGATAGATAGATAGATAGATAGATAGATAGACATGAACAGAGTGAGATAGATAGATAGATAGATAGATAGAAATGAACAGACTAAGATAGATAGATAGATAGATAGATAGATAGATAGATAGATATGAACAGACTGAGATCAATAAATAGATATGAAATGACTGAGATAGATATGAACAGACTGAGATAGATAGATAGATAGATAGATAGATAGATAGATAGATAGATAGATAGATAGATAGATAGATAGATAGGAACAGTGAGATAGATAGATAGATAGATAGATAGATAGATAGATAGATAGATAACGTCAGTCGCCATTCTCTATCTCGCTAAAATCTGTTCTTTTATTGTCCTTTCTCCTTGATTAAGTTTTCTCGTTGTATTTCACTTGCAGTTCTATTAGTGTCTTGCTTGAGGTGAAATGATTAAAATAAATCTTCTTTACACGATAGGTATAACAGCTGAACAACACGTTGGTAAACTAATGCCTGACCTGAAAATACGGACAGAGAGCAGGGTTGACTGCAAGAACCTACACATTTACATTCATGGAGACATGACAGACGGTTATGGAGACCAGACAGAAAATGTGAGCACAGTGAAGCGGTGGTTCATGCGTTTCATTATCGCAAACAGCTATTCCTGATGGGCTACGTTTCCAGCACGATATACAGGCATTTTTATGGCGTAAATACATTGTAATTGATGGTAGCGATGCGAAATATGTTTTATAGTTGAAAAATCTTGTGAATATGTTGTTCCTTCAGTGAAAATAAATTGGTGGCATTATATACAAAGATTTATTTCACAGGCAATTATTTTCGGAGAATTATTTGCCGAGCATGTTTTGGAGGCATTATTTCCTGGGAATATTTTAGAGGCATCATTTCCCGAGAATATTTTGGAGGCATTATTTCCCGAGAATATTATGGAGGCATTATTTCCCGAGAATATTTGGGAGGTATTATTTCCCGAGCATATTTTAGAGGCTTTATATTCCGAGCATATTTTGGAGGCATTATTTCCCGAGAATGTTTTGGTGGCATTATTTTCCGAGCAAATTTTGGAGGCATTATATTCCCAGCATGTTTTGGGGGCATTATTTACCAAGCATATTTTGGAGGCATTATTTCCCGATAATGTTTTGGAGGCATTATTTTCCGAGCATGTTCTGGAGGCATTATATTCCCAGCATGTTTTGGGGGCATTATTTACCAAGCATATTTTGGAGGCATTATTTCCCGAGAATGTTTTGGAGGCATTATTTTCCGAGCATGTTTTGGAGGCATTATTTTCCGAGCATGTTTTGGAGGCATTATTTCCCGAGCATATTTTGGAGGCATTATTTCCCGAGCATATTTTGGAGGCATTATTTCCCGAGAATGTTTTGGAGGCATTATTTTCCGAGCATGTTTTGGAGACATTATTTCCCGAGCATATTTCAGAGGCATTATTTTGCGACCATATTTGAGAGGCATTATTTTGCGTGCATATTATGGAGGCATTATTTCACGAGAATATTTTAGAGGCATTATTTTCCAAGCATATTTTGGAGGCATTATTTCCCGATAATGTTTTGTAGGCATTATTTTCCGAGCATTTTTTAGAGGCATTATTTCCCGAGCATATTTTGGAGGCATTATTTTGCTAGAATATTTTGGAGGCATTATTTACGAGAATATTTGGGAGGTTTTATTTCCCGAGCATATTTTAGAGGCATTATTTTTCGTGCATATTTTGGAGGCATTATTTTGCGAGCATATTTTAGAGGCATCATTTTTCAAGCATATTATGGAGGCATTATTTTCCTAGCATATTTTGCAGGCATTATTTTCTGAGCGTATTTTGGAGGCTTTATTTTTCAGAGCATCTCCTCGAAAGATGAATAACAATTCAGCTGATAAAAGAAACTGAAATCTACGCGAATACTCACTCGAGCTGTTTTTTTTTTTTCTGGTTGGATAGCGCTTTTTGCCTTTTTTTGATTGGCTGGAAAAGATTAAAAGGTTAAATTAAAATTTCTTTTTAACGGGGAGAGTCACGATTTGTTGCGGATATGAACTTTCATATCCTGTCGTGGGTCACCTTATTTAAAGGTAACAAACAAACATTTTATCTAAAAGAAATTAAGATACAATTAATTTCCTTTCAATTTCAACAGTTGATTTTTATATGAAGCATCTTTCTGTAGAACCATATTTCTTTTGCTTCTACAGAAAGATGCTTAGAATACCATGGACCGGACTTGTAAGCAACGATTAAAGAAAATAAAAACAAAAACTAAACTTATACTTCACATAAGAAAAAGTCAGTTGAGGTTTCTAGGATGTATATTAAGAAAAGAGGGCTTGGAAAATCTGATACTCACAGAACAGATTGAAGGTAAGTTAGACAGAGGATATATAGCTGGCAACTCGTATTCGAGCATACCCGTCTACTAGGGCGGCTAGCCAATCCCTATTGCAGACACTTGCTCAGGCGCATTTGTGTTTGTTCAACACCCACAGAGCCCACCTCTGGTTTATACTGCAACTATACTGAGCAGATATTAGTTGCAGTTTCTGGGAAAGAGCGTGTTATCTAGCGTGATCAACAATCTGAACAAGGCCAGTACGCTCAATCTCTCGGTCACGATGACTTGTGACTTAGTGCCAGCACAGCTACCGACGGCACCTAATTTTTTCGTCTACCAAATTTCACTCACAAGGCTTGGATGAACTCGTGGTATGGTTTTCAGGCACTTTCCAAAGGTGTCGCACGCTGGGATCGACCCCTCCAGTCCGATAACATGAGGAACTCTCCTTCCTGACAAATCGACCATGGTGAGATTCAAACCCAGGTCTCATGGTCAGAAGGGTTCCATCTACCCAATTTTCACTCGCAAGGCTTTCCAAAGGTGCCGCACGCTGAGATCGACCCCTCCAGTCCGATAACATCAGGTAGTCACCTTCCTGATTAATCGACCATGGTGGGATTCGAACCTAAGAATGCGAAGATTGGGTAAACAGTGTATGACATGCTTAATGAACTTGACTAAATTGTTGGTGGAACAGGATTTTGGAGAAATAGCAGAAAGACAAAGTTTTTTGAGAGCTACAAGGGAGAGGAAGCTGTGGAGAGATATGATTGTCTACGTCCTGAGGGGACACGGAACATAAAGAAGAAAATATAACATATAGCTTTCGAGAGAATGCGTGTGTGAGAGAGAGTGCGTGTTTCTGTGAGAGTCGGTGCGTACCAAAGCTACAAGAAATCGAAGACAGTCGGACCGAAATTCAATATGGCCACAAGTCCATGAATTAGACGTGAAAAAATCGTCTAAAATTAGAAATCAAACTTAGAGAATACGATTACCCTGATACGAGTAAAGAATAGCCTGTGGGGTGGGGGAGTTGGCCATAGGTGTTGACCATCATAAATCACCTTCAAGGACCTACCTGATGAGAAAGATTTATTATTGCAAAGACTCTTCCAAAAATTCCATATCTGAAGAGATTCTTTAGCATTTCCCTGTGTCATAGCTTGTCAATTATGGAGTGTCTCTCTGATTCCGTATTTAATGACAGGTCATCAGCAGTGCGCCTAGAGAAAGAATCTTTATATTGTTGTCACTCAGTACAACTCCTTCTTGATCATCGCTTCAATGTTTTTGCTGAATAACCCTTTTTACCTTTGTATTAGCAGTGCACCTAAAAAAACAACCCTCTTTTTGTTGATAAATGATTCAATATATTTGCTGATAACGACTTTTAGCTTCCATCAGTATGGCTGATGCTAACCTCCAGGAGAACGACTCACTACACCTTCTCGGACTGACATTTTAAACTGACATGAATTGGAAAGCGTATATTGAATAAATTGCGTATTTTCAGTCTGCAGGTAGGAAAGTTGTTTCACTGTGTTGATCTAGACAATTATTCTCGCCAGAATATATGTTGCAAATTCATAAGTCTACCATTCTTCCTTGCTTTGAATATTGCTGCCACATCTGATCTCGTGCTGCTGCTATATATTTAGAGATTATTGATAAAATCCCCAAAAGAATCTGTAATGTTATTGGTTCTGACCTGGCATCTCGGCTTTCCCGCCATGGTATGTAGCTTTATTTTGCCTTTTCTATAAATATTTTCATTGTAATTGTTCTGATGAACTTTACTCTATGGTAACTAGACTTTATGAATTTAAGTGCAGTGCTAGATTGGCAGCAAGTTCTCAACATCTTACAGTTGAAGTGTCTAGATGTAACCATAAGTTCTATGCTAACACTTTCTTTATTAATAATAAAGAAAAGTATAAAGAAATTGAATGGAATCAGCTAGACGTGTCCAGCCATTTATAAAAGAAATAAATGCCTTTTCTATAAATACTTTCATTCTAATTGTTTGGATGAACTTTTCTCTAGAGAGTCTAGACTTTATGAATTTAAGTGCAGTACTAGATTAGTGGCAAGGTCTCAACATCTTACAGTTGATCTGGCTAGATGTAGCCATAAGTTCTATGTTAACAATCTCTTTTATTTCACTTCTCATTTATGGAACTTTCTGCTGGCTTCTTGCTTTCCACTCAAATTTGACCTACAAAAATTTATATCTCTACCATTCATCTTTGCTTTGAATATTGGTGCCACATCTTGTCTGGTATTTCTGCTATATATTTAGAGATTCTTGATAAAATCCAAAGAAGAATCTCTCTTGCATATTTATAAGTCTACCATTCATCCTTCCATTGAATATTGCTGTCACATCTGGTCTGGTACTTCTGTCTATATATTTAGAGATTCTTGATAAAATCCAAAGAATCTGCAATGTTATTGATCCTGACATGGAAAAAGTAAATTGTTTATTCTCGGAGATGTGAAGTTGTACTTTGGTAGTATGTCATTACGTTCAGACTAGAAAAACAGATACGTCACCACTCTTGGACGTGAGTCGGTTCTCTTAATAAAGAGGCGAGCCAACCAGAGGCTGAGAGAGTCTTGGGTTCGTCTGTGTTCGATTGCAGACGAAATAAGTGGAGAGACGTCAGAGATTGAAAAGGATGCGCCTGCTGAGGGCGAATAAGCAAATACTGCTGCTAACAACTAAGTACCGCTACTTCTGCTACTGCTACTACTACTACTACTACTACTATTACTACTACTGAGAACAGGAACATCGAAGGTTGTAGTAGTTGCGCTAAGAACGGACCAAAAAGGGTTAAAACTCTAAAATATTTTTAGAGTGTAAGATTTTTTTCTTTTTGATAATACTAGTTTTAATTAAGCCATAACTGGCCGAGGTGAGATGGATTTATACTTTTCCGCAAGGATATTTGCATAAATATAACGAACCCACTAGGAACTGAAAAACGGCTCTCTGATTAATAATTCCGGTCTATTATTCATTATAATGTCCGGCCATCCAAGCTTCAAGCACCTGGTATTCCCAAGCGGTCACCCATTTAGATACTGACCATTCTCCACGTTGCTTAACTTTGGTGATCGTACAGGAACCGGTGTCTGAACGATGTGGCCTTAAGTTCTGACAGAGAAATGTAGCTATCACAGTAGAAAGACCGTGGATTCAGGTGAAGAATGCGTTCACAGATGAAGAAGAGGCTGGAAGCAACAGAAATGTGGTTCTACAGAAGCATACTGAGACTAACATGGACCGAACATGGGAACAACGACGAAGTTTTAGCGAAAATGGAAATAAAAAGGACGCTTATACTTAACATCGGGAAAAAAGAATAGCCATGGATCCAACATGAAGAAGAAACTTGAAGCAACAGAAATGGGGTTCTACAGAAGCATGCTGAGACTAAAATGGACCGAACATATGAGCAACAACGAAGTTTTAGAGAAAATGAAAACAAAAAGGACACTTATACTTAACATCGGGAAGAAAGAATAACCATGGATCCAACATGAAGAAGAGACTTGAAGCAACAGAAATGGTGTTCTACAGAAGCATGCTGAGAATACCATGGACCGAATATGTGAGTAACGACGAAACTTGAGATAAACTTAAGACAAGATGGACACTTGTACTTAACATCAGAAAAAGGCAGTTGAAATGACTAGGGTAAATAATGAGGAAAGAGTGTTCGGAAAATTAGATACTCACAAGAAAAACTGAAATAAAGACAGGGAAAACCTAAGGAGCTTGAGTGAATAGATGACAGGAAAAGTTATGATAGAGACAACAAAAGGACAATATTAATTAAGAGCTACAAAGGACAGGATATTTTGGGGAACAGTGATCGCCAACGTCCTGAATGGACACGGTAACTAGAAGAAGAAGAACCAGTCAGTGATTGTGGTGCAAAAAAAAAGGAGAAACTTGCAGAGGGAAAAGACATGTGTGTTGCAAAACTTGGAGAACTTTGAAGTATAAGGCGAATGTTTCGTTAACATAAAATGGCTGGTTACTTTCTGGACAGCTCTCAAACGCACGTGGGGAAAGCATGGTCTTTGTCAATGAGAGTGTGCTAACAATACTATACCAAAGCAGATGCCACAGATCTTAATGCCGTCTATCGTCTTCGCGTCCCTTCTATTTTATTTCATTTGTTTGGCCATAACATAAATCCAATGCGACTCCAACACTTGAACATCTAATTCAACAAACCTGCTCCATGACGGCAAACAGTCGAAAAGGAAAACCTATATCAACTCCGCGCCAAAGTGGGAAAGGAGCGGAAAACGAATGTGAGTTAAGGCACGCCTGCGCACAAGATCCCAAGACAGAGGCAAAATGATAAAAAAAAAGGGTTAAGGTTACGCTGGGGCCACATCGTAGCCAAAATCCTCTCAGGGCTAAAGCGATGCTTTCCCCTAAGTTTTGCTAAATAATAATGCACCAACTGATTTTTTTTCCTTCATCTATTTATTTATTTTCTTGACTTGGGTTAAGTTTGAGGTGTAATAATAGACACTCTTCGTGATTCTGGGACGAGTCTCGGTAATTATTCCAATGGTGATTATATCGTGTTACACCGGCCGCTCTCGTCTAACAAGCGGCGTAAACATCGCTTCACCGGAGACTCTCCTGCATGCGTCGAAAATTAAAGAGGTTTGAATGTTGATCCTTGGGACAGTGAAGTATTTGGTATGAAGCTGTAGTGAGTCTTCACTAACAAAAGAGTAAAAGAGAGGAGGAGAAACGGAAAAAGAAGATTTGCTTTAGAAGGAAGGAAGGAAGGAAGGAAGGAAGGAAGGAAGGAAGGAAGGAAGGAAGGAAGGAAGGAAGGGAAGGAAGGAGGAGGGAGGAGGAAAGGAAGGAAGGAAGGAAGGAAGGAAGGAAGGAAGGAAGGAAGGAAGGAAGGAAGGAAGGAAAAGAATAGCGCGTTGGCAGAACAGAATGTGGGAAAAGAAAGAAAGAAAGAAAGAAAGAAAGAAAGAAAGAAAGAAAGAAAGAAAGAAAATGAAAGAAAAAAAGGAAGGAAAGAAAGAGTGGTCAGGTTCTGAAGAAAGTAAAAGAAGAAAAGCAAGGATACGAGGCCAAGAAAGGAAAAAATTAAGAAGAAATAAAAATTTCATGAATATATAAAATCATTATGAACGGAAGGAAGGAAGGAAGGAAGGAAGGAAGGAAGGAAGGGGAGAAAAGAAGGAAAGAAGAAACGAAGGAACGAAAAGAATAGTGCGTTGACAGAAAACCCTAAAAGATGCTCGAAAAGAAAGAAAGAAAGAAAAAAGAAAGAAAGAAAGAAAGAAAGAAAGAAAGCCACAAGTCCTGAAGAGAGTTAAAGACGAAAAGGAAAGGAATTAAATAAAATAAGGAAAATTAGGGAGAACAAAGGAATTGATTTTTTAAAAAATGGTCAGAATTATTTGAGGAATATATATGAAAAATATGAATAGAAAGAATAAAGTTAGGAAGGAAGAAAGAATGGATGGAAGGAAGGAGGGGTTAGCGTAGAATGAAGAGCATAGCGAAGAACGTAGAAACAGCGAGCAGATGGAAATTCCGGTGTGATGACGTGAAGAATTAATTGTTTGAAAGAAAAAAAGAAAGAAAGAAAGAAAGAAAGAAAGAAAGAAAGAAGCCACAAGTTCTGAAGAAAGTCAAAGAAGAAAAGGAAAGGAGTGAAATAAAATAAGGCAAATTAGGGAGAAAAAGGAAGTGATTTAAAAGAATGGTTAGAATTATTTCAAGAATATATATGAAAAATATGATTAGAAGGAAGGAAGGAAGGATGAAAAGAAGGAAGGATGAAAGGAAGAAAGGAAGGAAGGAGGGAAGAAAGGAAGGAAAGAAGGAGTGGATAGCGTAGAATGTGGAAGAAAGCAGACATACACGTTTCAATTGACTTTAAAAAAGCAGACATTGGTCCTTTTCACATGAGTGTCAAGATCGTAGACAGACGTCGGTGTTACAATAGAATCACAAAGGTAGACATTGCTCCGCTTGTTATGAGAGTCAAAGATTCAGAGAGACGTGGATGTTAAAATAGATTCAAAAAAGTTAGACATTGGCACGGTTCACATGAGAAGCACAAACGCCGACTTGGATGTTATATTAGAATCAAAAAGTCGACATTTTCTCCTGTTCAAGCGGGTATCAACAAAGGTATAGAGACCTAGGTGTAACAATAGAATAAAAATTGTAGAAAAATGTTGGATTTATAGTCGAATTTGCAAGTAGACATCAATATGGAGACCCGTTTTTTTTTGGGGGGGGGTAGAATTTCGAATACTGATTTGTAACGCCGACGAAATGGCATAATATTCTTCTACATTTTTCGCGATTTTATTTTGTCTCAGACAACTCAAAACTTGATACAGGTCATTGATGAAGGAAGAAATTCAAGATAAAAGTTTACAGCCGAGAAAACTTCCAATACGTTATATAATGTCATGTAAAAAGAGAAACAAAAGATTCATTTTTCGAAGGGATAAATTTAAATTAGATAACCGAGTTAAAAAAAAAAGAAGATTGCAATGAAAAGGATAGTAAGAATGAAATATTGAATAAATAGGAGGTTTGAAAGAAATAAAAGAAGGAACAGTTAAATGTTGATGGAAAATTTTGAAATCATATCAAGAAAGAAAGAAATATAGAAAGAAAAAGAAAGTGAAAGAAAGTCTAAGTATTCTTGATGAAATTACGAAAGAAAAGACAAGCAAAAATAAAGCGAGGATGAATAAAGAGAAGATGAGAATTGATGATGGATGGACGGTGAAAATTAAAAGAAAGAAAGAAAGAAAGAAAGAAAGAAAGAAAGAAAGAAAGAAAGAAAGAAAGCACGGTTATTAAGAAAGAAAGAAAGAAAGAAAGAAAGAAAGAAAGAAAGAAAGAAAGAAAGAAAACACGGTTATTAAGAAAGAAAGAAAGAAAGAAAGAAAGAAAGAAAGAAAGAAAGAAAGAAAGAAAGAAAGAAAACACGGTTATTAAGAAAGAAAGAAAGAAAGAAAGAAAGAAAGAAAACACGGTTATTAAGAAAGAAAGAAAGAAAGAAAGAAAAAAGAAAGAAAGAAAGAAAGAAAACACGGTTATTAAGAAAGAAAGAAAACACGGTTATTAAGAAAGAAAGAAAGAAAGAAAGAAAGAAAGAAAGAAATGCAATAAAATTATGGAAGTGTTAGGGATTTTGAAGAAAAATGGTTAATCTTCGAAAAATAAGAAAGAAAGAAAGAAAGAAAGAAAGACAGAAAGAAAGAAAGAAAGAAAGAAAGAAAGAAAGACAGAAAAGGAAACACAGAAAAAAGAAGGAAAACAAAAGAAAATGAAAAAGTAACGTTCCCTAAAGGAAAAAAATAAAAGAAAGCAAAGTTAAAGATAGAAAGAAGAAAGAGGGCAAAGGTGAATTGATGGTAGGAATAAAGTGAAAATTAAAAGAAAGAAAACACAGTCATTAAGAAAGAAAGAAAGAAAGAAAGAAAGAAAGAAAACACAGTTATTAAGAAAGAAAGAAAGAAAGCGTAGTTATTAAAAAAGAAACAAACAAAGAAATATGTGGGGAAGACGAGATTTCATTTTTAAGGAAAAAATCTACAGGACAGAAAAATCAATATTTAAAAAAGGAATTCAAAATATATGAATGACTGACAAATTAAAGATGGCGTTCGGCAAAAATAAGAAACATACATTAAATCTAACAAAAGGAAATGTTGACTCTCAATAAAAAATATTCAACTACAAGAATTTAAGAAGCAATGGATATCCTTTCGATTCCAACAGTTGATTTCCGTATAGAACGGATAGTTTTCGAGACAAGGGAATGCGTGCATGAAGGAGGGGGGTGGTTGTGTGTATATGTGTGAATGAGGAAAAGTGTGAAGGTGCGTGTGTGGTGAGTGCCAAATAAAGAAAGTAAATCGTAGACGATCGAAACGAAATTCAATATGGCCGCAAGTCCAGTCTTCCGCTTGTGAAAGAAACGTCTAAATGTAGAAATCAGACATAGAGAATGCAAATAGTGATGAATCCTTTTCTGGTACTAGTCGAGGAATGGTCGATCCTTGCATAGGAGACCAGGATTCGATTCCTCAGTCAGTGTATGAAATGATCATCCTTGCCCACTCGACGACACCCAGACCGTAGACAGACTTCGATGCCGCAGTATACTGTGGAAAGCGTTTCATCATTACTTGTTTTAAATTCTTATGCAGTGCCTCGATCAGAAAGAACATAAAAAAGAAAATATTATGACTGTTTCAAATATTTCCATGCTTTTGGTAGCTATTCTTCTCCGTTTATCACAGGAAAAGAAGCACGTGTGGTATACTTGCATTATTTACATTATTCGGACTGTTATCCTCATCTTCATTGCCATATTCACAATGTTTCGGCCTCTATATCTCTGAGATGAGGTATTATGATTACTTACATTATTTACATTATTCGGACTGTTATCCTCATCTTCATTGCTATATTCACAATGTTTCGGTCTCTATATCTCTGAAATGAGGTATTATGATTACTTGCATTATTTTCATTATTAGGACTGTTAGCCTCATCTTCATTGTCATATTCACAACGTTTCGGCCTCTATATCTCTGAGATGAGGTATCATGATTACTTACATTATTTACATTATTAGGACTGTTATCCTCATCTTCATTGCCATATTCACAACGTTTCGGCCTCTATATCTCTGAGATGAGGTATTATGATTACATACATTATTTACATTATTCGGACTGTTAGCCCCATCTTCATTGCCATATTCACAACGTTTTGGCCTCTATATCTCTGAGATGAGGTATTATGATTATTTACATTATCTACATTATTAGCACTTTTAGCCCCATCTTCATTGCCATATTCACAATGTTTCGGTCTCTATATCTCTGAAATGAGGTATTATGATTACTTGCATTATTTACATTATTAAGACTGTTAGCCTCATCTTCATTGTCATATTCACAACGTTTCGGCCTCTATATCTCTGAGATGACGTATCATGATTACTTACATTATTTACATTATTCGGACTGTTATCCTCATCTTCATTGCAATATTCAGAACGTTTCGGACGTTTCTAAGAATAGTTCGAAAAAGTGAAATCATTATCTTGGTTTTATTCTTCCTGCTATGTTTAGGCTGATCAGTTCTTCGGACTTTTCCGGTATACTGTTCCTGCTATGTTTCGGCTGTATAGCCGAAAGCGCTCGGAAAAAGAATATATATATATATATATATATATATATATATATATATATATATATATATATATATATAATTATGTTTATATAATTTATCATGTAAAAAGCAAAAAATTATTAGATCACATGAGAAATTGTATAAAAAAACTAAATCAAAGCGCCATGTCTGTCGTATTCAATGATATATATATATATATATATATATATATATATATATATATATATATATATATATATATATATATATATTGACTGTCAGGGTATACAGTACAGTATACCCTGATTATCCGTGTAGGTGAAACCTAAATAGTTTTACCTGGCTCTTTAGGTTATATGTGGTTTGCTCTACTTAGCGTATTGACCACTTTATATAGTCATTTTTTACTTGATTTGGAGGTTTTTTCATTGGACTCTGAGCTTGGATTCTGGACGATTGTTTTCGCCTCAATTTTATGTTCTTTGTTCTTTCTTTTTTTATCCATCACTTTTCAATCACAAGCCGAAATACCTAAGGCTTTCCAAACGATTACCACTATATATATATATATATATATATATATATATATATATATATTACCAGTTCGTAACTGGAGGGGATAATTCCGATGAGGATATAAATCGAGGGAGAGCTCAATATAAACTACAGAGCATTATATTGATAGTATTAAAAAAACGGAGACTATCCATTTCGCTTATAATTTATTTCGTGAACACCGAGATGTTCAACTCTTCAGATCGAAATCTCCTCCGTAAAAATCAGTTTTTATGGTAAATGTTTTATTTTATCAAATAGAATTCTTAAAGATTTTATCAAATAGAATTCTTGAAGATGTTATCAAATAGAATTCTTAAAGATTTTATCAAATAGAATTCTTGAAGATTTTATCAAATAGAATTCTTAAAAAATTTATCAAATAGAATTTGTGAAGATTTTATCAGATCGAATTCTTAAAGATTTTATCAAATAGAATTCTTAAAGATTTTATCAAATCGAATTCTTAAAGATTTTATCAAATCGAATTCTTGAAGATTTTATCAAATAGAATTCTTAAAGATTTTATCAAATAGAATTCTTAAAGATTTTATCAAATAGAATTCTTGAAGATTTTATCAAATAGAATTCTTAAAGATTTTATGAAATAGAATTCTTAAAGATTTTATCAAATAGAATTCTAAAAGATTTTACCAAATAGAATTCTTGAAGATTTTATCAAATAGAATTCTTGAATATTTTATCAAATAGAATTTTTAAAGATTTTTTCAAATATAATTCTTAAAGATTTTATCAAATCGAATTCTTGAAGATTTTATCAAATAGAATTCTTAAAGATTTTATCAAATAGAATTTGTGAAGATTTTATTAGATCGAATTCTTAAAGATTTTATCAAATCGAATTCTTAAAGATTTTATCAAATAGAATTCTTGAAGATTTTATCAAATAGAATTCTTGAAGATTTTATCAAATAGAATTCTTAAAGATTTTACCAAATAGAATTCTTAAAGATTTTATCAAATAGAATTCTTAAAGATTTTTTTAGAGTTCTAAAGATTTTATCAAATAGAGTTCCTAAAGATTTTTCAAATAGAGTTCCTAAAGATTTTATCAGATAGAGTTCCTAAAAGATTTTATCAAATAGAGTTCCTAAAGATTTTATCAAATAGAATTCTTTTAAGATTTTATCAAATAGAGTTCTAAAGATTTTATCAAATAGAGTTCCTAAAGATTTTATCAAATAGAGTTCCTAAAGATTTTATCAAATAGAATTCTAAAGATTTTATCAAATAGAGTTCTTAAAGATTTTATCAAATAGAGTTCCTAAAGATTTTATCAAATAGAGTTCCTAAAGATTTTATCAAATAGAATTTTAAAGATTTTTATCAAATAGAGTTCCTAAAGATTTTATCAAATAGAGTTCCTAAAGATTTTTTAGAATTCTAAAGATTTTATAAAATAGAGTTCCTAAAGATTTTATCAAATAGAGTTCTAAAGATTTTATCAAATAGAGTTCCTAAAGATTTTATCAAATAGAGTTCTAAAGATTTTATCAAATAGAATTCTTAAAGATTTTATCAAATAGAGTTCCTAAAGATTTTATCAAATAGAGTTCCTAAAGA